TTACGGTTACCGTTCCAGGAGAATCGGAGTCTCCAGGGCCGGCTGAGAAGGGTGTCGCTACAGGCCTGACCCGGTCGTTATCCAGCGACTGTACCAAGACCAAGACCGTCGAACTGGTGAGGCAGGGTCCAGGGGGCGTTTTCGCCCAAGCTACTGCCGGAGGATGTGCCAAGCAGCCATCCTCCAGTGACCTCCGGGTCACTGAGGTAACTGTTGGTGGTTTTGTTATCACCGAGGAGATGGTGGATGGCGAAGATAGACGGCATAGACGTCTTGAGCTGCTACGCGCCGCCCAGCTTGCCGATCGCCGGACTCCTCGAGTCCGTGTCCTCCTGCCTACGGGCGAGGAGGCTTGGGAGGCCGCGCGACGGTCGCGGGGAGCTTGTGGCCGGGGATTTCAATGCTCACTCCCCGGTCTGGGGGTCGGCGGACACGAACCAGCGTGGCGAAGAACTGTTGGACCTGATGTCAGCCCTCGTGCTGGTGTCGGCCAACAGGGGATCCACCCTGACGTTCGAGGGTCACTCCTCGAGCTCGGTGGTGGACGTCACGCTGGTGTCCCCGTCGCTGCACCCGCACGTGACCGGCTGGTCGGTTCTCCCGTACAGGGAAAACCTCAGCGACCACCGGTACATCGTGTACGAGTGCGGCGATGGCGGCCGTCCCCCTCGAGCCGTGCCCCGCGTGCCGTCTCGCAGTGGACGAGTGGGCTGGCGGGTCGGACCGGCCACGGACGTCGACGCTTTTGAGACGGGCCTACTACTCGCTCAATGGTCGGCGCCCGCGGTGCCGGGCCGGCGCGTCTCCGCGAGTGAAGCGGCGGAAGAGTTGGACCGGAGGGTGGTCGCAGCCTGCGACTTCGCCCTCCCGGCCAAACGACCGTCGACGACTCGCGGACCGCCAGTCCACTGGTGGACCGAGGAGGTGGCGGCCAGGCGTGAGGAGTGCGTCAGGGTCAGGAGGGCCATGACGCGCTTCAACCGACGGCCGCGGGAACCGGAGTCCCCGGACCCGAGGGAGGCGCTGAGGTCGGCCCGCAAAGAGCTGAAGCTCGCCATCAGGCGGGCCAAAGTGAAGTGCTGAGCCGAACTCGTGAAGTCGGTGGACCACGACCCGTGGGGGAAACCCTATCGGGTCGTCATGCGGAAGCTCCGCGGCCCACCGGCTTCCGGTCA